CAAATGTTTTTTTTAAAACATCTATTTCCTGTGGAAATATATTAACTTCATGGTCTGCGTCCCTTCTTTTTTTATTCCCTCCTGTAACATTTTTATATTTTTTTAAGTTTAAATATATTAATAAATTTTGTTTTTATAAATAATTTTATTTGAGAAGGCCGACTTTAGCTGGAAGACATTTTTATAAATGGTTTTATTTGAGAAGGCAGACATGCTGGAAGATATTTTTAGTTTTAAGTCCTAATTGTCACAATCTATTTTTATGACTTCGATTATTTTAATGCGAGTTTTTCATTCATATTATATTTTGAATTTTCATTCATATTACATTCTGATTTTTCGTTTTAATAAAAATGCAAATATTAATGATTATTATAAAAATATTTGAGATAATTTTGTCTTTAAAATTTATTTTAATTTTAGGAGGTTATATATAAGTCATTTTTATTTATAGCCGTTTTAACAATTTTTTATTACTAGTTGTTGCAGTGTTTTTTTGCAATTAAGTACACATTATCTTACCTTTCTTTTTTTTGTGGAAATCATGATTACAATAAATTGCAAAGTTTACATTAGGCAGGTGTGGTGCATTGGTTAGAGTTCTGGGTCAGAACCAAGAGGTGCCTGCTCTATTTAGATAAGCGACAATGATAAGGAAGGACGTGAACTTCTTGGTTAAATTCTCTTCTGCATTGCTCTGTGATAAGATCGTTAGGTTTTCCTGGATCACCTTTATAACTTAAAAATAAAATTTCAAAGTTTATAATTTAATTTTTTGCTTCTTTTTTTTTTTTCAAAATTTGGGTTTTTTTATAAAACACTAATGTTCCCAGAAATCGAATTGAAATGATATTTTTATTGGTGGGATAATCAATTGGTTGAAATTGCTCAAACCACGTGGTTTGGTTGCTAAAGTTGGTTGTTATTTTATATTTACTTTAGACTTAACAGCTTATAATAGTGCATTTTTCTATTTAATAATTTTTTCTTTAAAAAAACATCGTTATTGATTATTGATTTACTGTGCCCATGTTATTTAGAAACTAGTAACCCAGTACTAGGGTCTAATAAATTGCTTCACATAATACACTTTAAACCTCTCTGAAAACAGATTATAAATCGAGTTTTAATGATTTCATGTTATGTATCTCAATCTTTTTGTCTTATGTTTTAAACTTTATAGGACTTTAAAAAAATTTAAAATAATAACATACGAGGAGAGATTGCGCATCCTTGGTTACATTAATCAGTGCACTGATTAACATAATCACTATGACCACTATTCGTTTTAACCACTAATCTCATTAGTTTTAACCACTGCAGTGGTTAAAACTAATTAGATTAGGCATTTTAAAATCGTAATTATAAAAATATCGTATTTGAAAACTGCATTTTTATTCTATTGTTACATTAGAAGCTTGATTAAACGCTTACTCTCAAAGTAGCGAATATTTTTGAGTAAGCGTCTCTTTAATAGAGAAGGGGAGACCGGGGCTAGTTGCAACAGGGGCTAGTTGCAACAATGTGGTTAAAGAATGGTTTTTATGTATTTTCCCCTTGGTTAAAGAATGGTTTTTAAGTATTTTTATGTATTTTTGGTGGTTAAAGAATGGTTTTTATGTATTTTTATTTATATATTTTTAAAAAAATATTACTATAATTTTACCATATCAGCTGTAAAAAACTTACCGTTATTAAACGAAAACTTCAAAAATTATTGATATATATATTTTTTGATATAAAATTCTAAATTTCGTTTTTCGAAGTTTTTTTGGGTTTTACTTTAAACTTAGTGGTATATGACTATAATAAAGTAATAGTAAGTTAAAAAAAATCTTTTTCAAATACGAAAAGCTAAAAAAATAGATATTTTAAATATAAATAACTATATACAATGATTAGAGTGATTATGATGCCTATGGGGTAAGTTGCATCAAATTACTTAGGGTTAAATCAGAAATTAACTGCGGGTTTTGTTGATTATGCGCACTTTTCTAGTTTTTTCTTAACCCTAAAATACCCAAAGCAGTTTAAAAGACTCAAAAAAATCTTATTTTAAATACAAGTAACCCTTATGGCATAAGTTGATTGCAGAAAAAAAATTTGCGACAAAAAAATTATAACTAGGCACTTTTTTCAGTTGTATCAGATATGATACAACTCAAAATGATACATTACAATTAATGACCCCAGGTATCAGATCTGATACACACTTTTTAGGCTGCAGCATTTATTAGACAAATAATTATTTTTATCTGAAAACACCCGTTGTTGCTAATATGAGAAGCTAGTTTTCGGTTCCGTATAAACACTTCTTTTCATCCGTGTCAATTTTCTTATATTAAACATTTTAAAATAGCACATGTTAAAAGTGTTTTGTATGGTGTTCACCAAGTGTTGTTTCTGTATTAATTTCGCGTTGGTTATATCAATTTTAATGTTTTTTTTTTTCTTTAATTTTTGTAATAAAGGTAAAAGAAAACTTTACTAACTGTTTCATATTTTTTTTTTTTATCAAATATGCATAAATATTGATTACTGAATTTGTATGTATCAAATTTAATACAACGGGTTTTTTCCAGTATAAAGCTTTGTGAGAAGTTCTTTGCTTACCTATATTTTTAAGTTTTTATTTAAGTTTTTCTTGATGAATAGGAATGAAAAAAAAACTATATCCGATGTTTTAAACTATGTACTTGATGGGTTATAGCGGTTTTATTGAAACAGATGAAAGTGAAAACAAGTTTTATAATGAAAATGATATAGGCTGTATTATAGCCAACACTGCTATTAAAGAAGATAGTGACAATGAACCTTTAGCAAACATAGCATCAAGACTCTTAAAGAGACAACTAATAACCCCAATAAGAATAAACCAATTACTTACAAATGAGTAAGAACTTTGAACCCCTTGATGATGTCAATTTCAAGGAGCCTGAAATGAAACCAACACCAAATGTGGAAACAACACCCTTTCAATATTTTAAGTTATTTGTTTGTGATAATATGTTGAACAGCATCACAAATGAAAGTTATATTTATATTCTGCAATTAAAAGGTTCAGAGAAAAATCTTAAAAAAGGATATTGAGAAGTTTATTTGTGTTTATCTGAGAATGGGTTTGGTAAATCTTCCAAGTCAAAGATCATGTTGGGAGACATTTATGACCTACAAAGGAGTTTCTTCTATTATGGGAAGAACTAAATTTGAAACTATACTTCGAAATATTCATTTTGTAAACAACTTGGAAATATCTAAGAAAGAAAAAGCAGATGACCGTGTATGGAAGTTACGAAAATGGATAACAGAGCTATTAATAGAGTTGATGAGATTATGGTTCCTTTTAAAGGAAAGTCTCTCTTGCGTCAGTACTTGCCAAAAAAGTCCCACAAGTGGGGATTCAAGCTTTGGGGTCAAAGTGGCATTTTTGTATGACTTTGATATTTATCAAGGGAAGTCAAAAAACAATTTGGATACGAACTTAGGTGTCAGTGCAGATGTTGCAATTAGTATGTTCACTTCCTGTAATTAATGTAATTATTCCTGTAATTAATGTAATTAATATCTTCACTTCCTGATAAACGCAATTTCAAAGTTTTTTTCTGAAAACTACTTCACAAGCTTGCCCCTTATTGTTGAATTAATGAAACGTAATATCTATTGTGTAGGTACTATTAGAGATAAACGAATGAAGAAATGTCCGTTATTGCTTGAAAAGGATTTGAAAAAGCAAGGCAGAGGAGCCTATGCTTTTCGAGTTGAGCAAGAATCAAATGTGGTTGCAGTTCGATGGTATGATAACAAACCAGTTAATTTAGTTTCTTCATATGTAAGCATTGAACCACTTAAACTGTTCGGAGATGTGATTGTTTGTTAAAAAAAAAGATTGATGTAAAACAGCCCAACATTGTTCATGTATATAACCAATACATCGGGGGAATAGATAAGTTGGATATGATGTGTGCATTGTAGAGAAGTCGCAGAAAGTCTGATCAAAGTAACATCATCTCGTGGCAGACCATTTTTAGATAATACTGCACAACCTCCTAAAAAGTGTGCTTGGGTTCAAGGAAATCTTCCCAATGATATAAGAAAGGATGGCTTTGATCATATGCCAAGTTCCAATGAAAAAAGACAGGTGTTTGTTCTGTAAGTCAGGACTTTCATATATAAGTTTTAAAAAATGTAATGCATGGCCTTGTTTTAAGAAAGAAAGAAACTGTTTTGAAGTTTTTCATTCTTAATCTTTTTATAAATGTGCTAATATGTTTAGTTTATATGTAGAATGTAATATGTTCAATATAAATACTTTTATAAATAATTTCCCGTTGTATCATATCTGATACAACTCAAAAAAGTGCCTAGTCATAATTTTTTTGTCTCAAATTTTTTTCTGCAATCAGCTTATGCCATAAGGGTTACTTGTATTTAGAATAAGATTTTTTTGAGTCTTTTAAACTGATTTTGTATTTTAGGGTTAAGAAAAAACTAGAAAATTGCGTATAATCAACAAAACCCGCAGTTAATTTATGATTTAACCCTTAGTAATTTGATGCAATTTACCCCATAGGCATCATAATCTTACAATACAAATGATAACAAACGCTTTTTTTATATAACTGCGTACCAATAAACGAAAACAACAATTTTATGATGAAGATAAGTTTATATAAGTTTATAATATATATATATATATATATATATATATATATATATATATATATATATATATATATATATATATATATATATATATATATATATAACTATATATATATAACTATATATATATATATATATATATATATATATATATATATATATATATATATATATATATATATATATATATATATATATATATATATATATATGTATATATATATATATATATATATATATATATATATATATATATATATATTTATATAAACAAAATTTATATATATAAATATAAATTTGTTTATACATGTATATATATATATATATATATATATATA